CAGCCACGAGGAATCTACCACCGCTGGACAACGTTAAAGCACACCGGAGTGATAGTAGTATCTGTTGTAAGTCAGATGGTATATTGGTAAGAATTGGACGCGGTATTGAACTTACTTTGAGCTGTATTTTTCAATATTTGTATTTGACGACCATGTAGCTCTATTTTTCCAACTACGCGATCAACGGAGCAGTACGCGGTAGAGGTTGGTTTTGTGTCGGAGCTGAACCCACTTTTCAACGAGTATCGCCACCCACGATTTGCCCTGGACCATATTCTTTACGCGAATTAAATCAATTTAGCTATTTGTAGCTTTGAAAGCTATCGGCTTGGTCCGCCGTAAAATCTAAAGCTACAGGCATCTGGAGCAGCGTCGACTTTTATAAGCCACGGCTTCGAGTTGGTTACACTCCGGGTGTAACGGGCGTGTCTTTTCGGCCCAGTTCGTAGAGTTTATTTAACTAAAATTAAGATAATTTATTTTATACTTAATAAATAATTTAAATAAATTTAAGTAATTTATTTTGTGAAGTAGAAATTTGTTGTCTCTACGAACAGTCGAGACCAGCCACGTTTCAATCAGCAACAACAACCAGATAGAGTCGAACCAGTGGCTGATGCAGAACAAGAGCCTGTGATAGATCAAAATCAACAAGAATTTGATCATGTTGATATTTTTGCAAACGGTAATGGTAAATATAAAAATTAATTAATTATTCAAATTCATTGTAGTAAGGTTAATATTCGTAGTTAGTTACAAAACACTGTAAATTTTTAACATAAATTTTAACATTCATTCAACATAAATTAATGAATAAAATTAATATAAATAAATAAAATTAATATAATAAATAAAATTAATAAATTTTGAAATAAATTTAACATATTTTTTTTTCACATAATTAATTTTTACGGATGATGAAAACAATATTCCTTTGGACAAAGATTCAGATAATGATGATGTGGAACCGGGAATACATGAGCGCTTAGAAAATATACACTTTAATGATGTCGAGGCCTCTGGAACTGCGGCTGTATGTTGTATTTGTTACAAAAACAGACCAAATGTATTATTTTTACCTTGTCAACATCTGTGTCTTTGCCTGAAGTGCAAAGCTGGAGAAGATATTTCAAATGTTATTCAGTCAGCCAGAAATATAATGCATCGTCCACGTTCTCCTCTTTGTCGGGGATATTATGAACACCATGAGGAAATTCAATATCCTCAAAGAATTGTATTAAATCCGCAAATACATAGCATCCCGAATTACCTATAAGTGAATCATTCAACGACGAAGCGGCTCAAGGAACATCAGGAGCACGTTTTAAATGTAACATTTTTAAGCCAGCGGCACTAGTTCAGCTCTGTAACCATTTATGCTTGTGCAAACGTTGTAAAGCTCAAGAAGAACTGACTACACGTGATCACCAACGAGTTAACGACTTAAACTTTTATATATGTCCTTATTGTATGCATATATACGATCGTATAATCGAAGTGTACTATCCTTAAAATTGATTAGTCATTACTGTAAGACTTATAAAATAGTTTTATATTGTAACACTGCATTTTGATATACTCATGCTTATGCGGCAGCCTTGCGTACCGGCCTTCGTCAGTTTCATTTTCAGGCGCTCGGCGGCGCGGTCGCTTGTCTTAATGCTTGGAGTGGGGAGCTTGGGGCCTAGATATAGTCAGTCGAGCGGTGGAACAGGCAGTCGACCTTCGAGCGTACAACCCGAAGGATCTCCAAAGAAGCCAGGGGGCCAATCATTATCCAGACGGAGCGAGCTGTATTAGCGAAGACGAGGTCGGCTCAGTTAGGGATAGTTATTTTAATTAGTTTGTGATCTGCGAACTAACTGTTTAGCATCCTAGAAGTGATTCAGTTGTGTGTTAATCAGGCTATGGCAAAGACCAGGCCATAAATTAATTTATTCTCACCAGGGGATCTAGTTCGAGTTAATTGTTGAACCATTTATAGTCGAGTCATTGGTAGTAAATCTGTTAATTGTTTGATTTAATTGTGATTTTGCTGTGCCAATAATTTCAACAACCTAGCCTCTTTCCTCCCACTTAGTAATAATTAGTTAAGTTAATTATATTCTGTGACCGGATATCAGTTTTGGATTACCCACTCCCTGAGTGTGAGCTGGCCTTAGTAACTCGGTTCCAGGAGGCCGAATGAACTCAACACCAAGAAACTCTCCTGGTCACGTCCAGATAATCTCTAGCGCGATCAAGATACCTTTGTTAGGGGGTTACAAATCCTGCTAAGGTATTACTGTTTTATTTGGCGCCCAACCGGCTATCTTATGAATTAAATAATCAAAAAAATAATACCATAAAAACTAATTTAAATAAAATCTGTGCTAAGTGAGAAAATTGGAAAAAAGGTGATTAGAAATTTTGGCGCGCAAAGCAGCGTCGATCGTGTAGGAAGGCTGGTAGAGTGAGGGAGAGAGCCCTTGTGACTAGACGAAAGAGACAAGCATAGCTTATTCTTTCTAAATTTCTAGAATTTTCTTTCACTTTTAGATTTTTTTTTGTTTTTGAATTTTTTTGTGTTTGGGGAAAACTTGATTAAAAATATTAATGTAAAATTGAATTAAAATATTTATTTTTGCTAGACAAAAATCATTAATTGGTTTTCGTCCTTATTTATTTTTGCTAGACAAAAATCTCAATTAGTTTTCGTCTAAATCTTTTTTATAGAAAAAATCTTAATTGATTTTCGTCTGAATATTTTTATAGAAAAAAACTTAATTGATTTTTGCGTCTGAATTCGCGCATAGACAGAAAATTATATTTTCTTTTTTCTAAAATTAAAATTGTCAGAAAATTAAGTAGTTTCCGTATCAACATTCAGTAGACTTGAAAATCGTTGTTTTCCCGTTATAGTTGTTATTAGCCAAGAAGTTTTTAGAATTCTTAGCCAAAAATTTTGTTCAAAAAAATTTGTTTAAAAAAAAAGAAAAAAAAAGGAAACGATCGTTTGTTTTCTTTTCGCGTTGAAGATCAGTGTCTTAATTTTGGTTGAAAATTTTGTGTTACTCTGTCGAAAAATTTTTGTTGTGACCTTGAACGTCACGTCGTAGTAGTCGTTTGTTCAACATGGCGGCCGCGTGCTCAAAATCAAACGTCGCGCGGCGTCCTAGTGAGGACGATGTACAGGTCGTGAGCTCGAGAACGAACTCCGGTCGAATCCAGCACTCGCCGGTCCAGAAGTTGACAAACTCGACGTCCAGAAGATTATCTGGGAGTTTGTCGCTTCTCAGAGCACCAGCCCTAAATAACAGAACGTCTACGACCCCAATTACGAGTAACATCGACTCACAGACAACTAACCCATCAAGTAACAGTAGCATTACAAGTAACCATTCAAGATCGGATTCGAAAAGACGTAGTTCAAATATTAATAATAATAACTTACCTCTGGTGCCAAGTACACAAGTACTCAACAAAATGGCGTGATAGCTTCTACGAGTACTAACTCAAATGGAACTATCGATAATTTAGTAAACATTCCAATCGCGGTACCTTCTGTACCGACGATGGTTACTGTACCGCCGAGTGGTAACAATAGTTTACCCCGGAATGGTAATGATCAGAATCAGAGGATAACTAATTATCAGATGACAAATAATAATACTAGTAATTTAAACAACCTTGATAATAATTTAATTAGCTTCAATAATATTTTGAATAATAATCATCACGATAATAATTTAAATATTTCGCAAAATGCAAATAATCCGAATCCGAATGGTGAGAGACATAGACAAATATACACTTTTCAAGGACAGGATTAGGGAACAGAACAGGTAGCTTCGAGTCAGCTTTCTGCCGATACGAGGACAAGCAACGCTTTTCCTGGGCATAGCTCAGTGCGGGTCCGAGTCGACGAGGAGGTTGCTCAGCTGGCTGAGTCCTTGAGGGCACAGAAAGAACTGAGCGAGAGAAATGCTCGCGTAATAGATAAATTGATGGGAATAGTAAATAACTTGATGATATCTCAGAAGCAGTATCACCAATCTTCGTCACCTGATATAGCTTCGGATTTGATTCGTAGTTGTATGTATGTGAGTGAGTGTGTGTGAGTTTGAGTGTGATTAATTTACGCAATTGTTCCTGAGGAACCGAGGTAATGGGGTCTCAGGGCAATGAAGATGTGTCAACCGACCTCAGTCTAGTTGATGGTATTTTATTTCATTTTGACTTATTTTTATAATTATTTTATATTTTGGATTTTCTTTGTACTAACGACAAAGGTGGTTCTGGAAGGTCTTGGCATACCCGACCACAAATCTAGGGGGGGAGGGTGTAACAGTGCATTTTGATATAATTATGCTCGTGCAGCAGCCTTGCGTACCGGTCGTCGTCAGTTTCATTTTCAGGCGCTAGGCGGCGCGGTCGCTTGTCTAAATTTTCGGAGTGGGGAGCTTGGGGCCTAGATATAGTCAGTCGAGCGGTGTAACAGGCAGTCGATCTTTGAGCGTACTAGGGATGGAAACAGTGCGAAAAAAGTCGACTTTTTATTTAAGAATCGACTTGGAATTTTTTGATTCTCAAAGTCGATTAATCATTGCTAAAAGTCGACTTTTCGACTCTCAAGTCGACTTTTTAAGAGCACAATAACTATATAACTCATAGTTAAAAGATATTTTACAAATTGTATTCGACATATTTCTTTATTTTTAATAAACAATTTATCATTTGCACTTTTTATTTAAACAACTTACACACAAAGGATTGTTTTTAACATTTTTATAAAAGATACATTCTACATAAAAATTGCACGTAGTATAGCACCGAAAATAAGTTTGTAGTATTTTAATTAAGTATTTTTGAAACGTTAAAATCAATATTTAATATTAAATATCAATAAAATTTTTAAATATCAGTTATAATCTGTTGAAAAATAATTTTTTAATTTAAATTTAAAGTTTACTATTTAAATTAAGTATCTATAAGACATAAAAATATAACAAATCTGTAATTTAAGAATCCCACATATCTTCACCAACTGACCGCAGAAATACAAGTTGATTTAAGTGCTGAGGCGATAAACGACTTCTTAATTGATTTGAAATCAGGCCAGCATGAGAAAACAATCTTTCGCAGGGTACAGAAGTTGCTACAATTAATAGAAACTTCCTCGCTACACTCCATAAATGAGGATATTCATATTTGATTGATTCCCAAACGACAAGTGGATTAGGGTTTTGTCTTCGTTGAAGAGCTGGGCGAGAAAAATACTGACGTAACTGTATCGGCAATTTACCTGCTTCATCAGTATCTGCTTGAGAATGACTATAGTTGACAGCTTCATCCAGATATGACCATATATCATCATCATTTCCATCGTTTGAAGAAACTTGGGCTTCAATCATTGTAGTAACGTCATCATCGTCAAGTATTGCAGAAGATCCCGTTGCCTGTAATGCTAAATTTCTCTCAATTCTAACCAGATCACTTAAGTTATGAAAATGAAATGAAAAAGAAAATTAATCTATGAATATAATTTAACTTTAAATATAACTGTTATTTGTAATTAGTGAATATAAACTCACCAACGTTAGTGATTGCACGAGCAGACTCTCGGATGCTATAGAAAGCGCACTTTTTATACCTGGGGTCAAGAGTTGCGCAAGCATATAATTTTACTGATTCAATGTTCCCATATTTAGTTTCAATTTCTTGAGTAAGTTTTTTTTGCAATTGTCGCCCAATCAAAGTATCTGGCTTGAAATTTTCAGTTTTCTGCAAAATATAAATATAATTGTGAAGAAAAAGGAATCCAAATAAAGGTAATGTTGCAAACGATCAATAATAATTTGATTCGAACTTACTTTTCTAAGACTTCCTGCGTAAGTCGCCGAAGAGGACTTAAAATATCGCGAACTTCAAGTAAGGATTCGAGTTAATCTCCTTTTATCATTTTAGGAGGCTTAGCTTTTGATGATTTATCCATTTTTACCTGAAGGAGTACCTTGCCAACATGATCGGCAAGTACAATGAAATGATTAATCATTTCGAAACAACAATTCCATCTTGTTTTCACTTCTTGGATTAGTTTAAGACGCTTTGCTTCTGGTAAATTGTTTTGTAATGACAACAACTCAGTTGTAGCTCTCTCACTGTGTCTAAAAAAAGTTACCATTTCTTTTACTTTTGTCAACAGATCACGTAACATTGTTTGCTGAGTAGATTTGTCAGACTCTAAAATTTCTGAATCATCAATTATATCTTCTTCATTTAAAGGTAGGTCGTCTACTTTATTCCCAGATTCAGATGCTGGTGGGGTTATATTTATTTCAATAAGTCGCTGTCCGATATTATTGATGACATGCCCAATACATGACATATGTATTTCACTTCCTAATTCACTTTAATCGCTCCCTTGATATTCGCCCTTCCGTCAGAAACAAATGTAGAAATTTTGTCATCATTGAGCCCCCAATCATTACAAATTTTTCTTAATTTAGACCTCAAATTATCAATAGTCTTCCTTTCTTCCGTATGATAAGCGCCTAGTTCAACCGTTCTCATCTCGACTCCTAATAAAAATAAGAGATAAATCAATGGTATGAAATGTTTGAGTTAAAATTATACAAAATGGTTTTTTAAGAAGATAATTGACTAACTTTTCAAGTAGTGAGCTGTCAAACCAAGATAGCTCTTCATCGTATAATGGTGTGTCCAAATATCTGTGGTTAAGCAAACAGACTCAGCTTATTGAAGCTCGATCTTAACTTTATTAGATAATTCCTCATATTTAAGAGTCATTGCAGCAGTCAATGTCGGTTCACATGGTAACCGATATTACGGCTGAATTTTTTTAACAAACATTTTAAATCCTGGTCTTTCTGGAGTTGATAGAGGCATGTTGTCAATAGCAATCATTTGAAGAAGAGCTGTTGTTACTTGGTTGTGTTTCCAGCCTCTAGCTGATAGGTAACAAATAAAATATTAGTTAATGAATTATTTTTTTAACTAAACTAGAGAAATTAATCTAATTAATACCCGCAAAAGAAGTAGCATTATTTATACAGCGATCTAGAGGTCCCTGATGAGTATCAAATTTGAAAGAGGAAGCTGACTGAAGAGCTGGAGTGCTTTTATTTTGTGAACAAACTGATGAAGAAAAAACAGATGATTCAATACCCGGGTAAAAAAATTTATATATAATTGGGTATAATTATATATGATTATATATAAAAAATGGCCCGGCATAATTATATATAATCATGTATAATTATATTCAATTATATATAATTATATGCGATTATATATAATTATATTAATTTTTTATTTCAAAAATGGATAAAAAAATTATTGTTTTTTTATTATATTAAAACCAGTGCGATTCGGAGTATGATGTAGTCATCAGAAACTATTTTAATTGATGAAAAATTTGGGACGTCCGCTGGGTTCGAACTCGACTCCTCCTGGTTATCAGTCTTGCACGCTGCTCACTAGTCTGAATCACATACTGTACACGACACAATCTATTAAATTTATTTAAATTCAAACCCAAGAAAGATCAGACTTACACATAAATTTTATGAAATTTCTTAAAATCCTATAAAACTTAATAAAAGCAGTACATTTTTGATAGATTGTTTATTTTGACTATTGTAAATTTTTATATTATTTTTTTTCTATAGAAAATAAATTGTATTTTTTAATTGAAGAATTGAAAGTTGAATATAATAAAATTATCAGTAATTTAAATATGCAAGCAGTAGTAAAACATATTATACTAGTTACAGAATCTGAAAATTATTTGTTAATAGAATTGAGAGAAATACAAAGTGTTTTTCAGTTATTAAGAGTAGAAGATTTAGAGATTTTGTATGTAAGAGACCAGATAATTCAAAGAGAATTTGGTAATTTTATTATAAAATTGGATTTAAATCCCTACTAATATTATAAATGTGAATGTAAGTTTGTTTGTTACGCTTTCACGCAAAAAACTACTTAACCGATCATCATGAAACTTTGTACACACATTATTGGAAGTATTAGAAGTAACATAGGATAATTTTTATTAAAGAAAAAAATTTATTTTTTACGAAAGAAAAAAAAATTGTTTGTCAAAAAATTTGAATCACATTGATTCAGTTCTACTGGAATGTAATGATCTTTGATATTTATCGAAGGACGCGAGCGAAGCAGCGGGTAAATGCTAGTTAAAAATAAAATCATTGTTTATAAAAAAGTAATCTTTGTCATTACTTTTTTCAACTTTAAAGATTTAGTATAAGTAGTATAGCAGGGGGGCTTCTGGATATCGGTAAGGTAGGGCATTGCCGGCCGAGTGGTTCGTGTCCATGCTAAATTATCGACCATATTTCCAGCCCTTTTTTATCAACTATTTTGAATTTTTACACTCACCATTTTGGCGCCCCTTTTTGAATTTTTATACCCACCATTTTGGCGCTCCTTTTTTGAATTTTTATACTCACCATTTTGGCGCCCCTTTTTGAATTTTTATTCCCACCATTTTTTGCGCCCACTTTTGATTTCCACCATTTTCCCACCTTTTTTTAACCTGGTAGCCGCCATTTTCCGCGACTACATCACCCCTTTTACCGCTATTTTTCAGCGACATTTTACCCCCACCATTTGAAAAAACTAGTTTGATGACGCAATCCTTACTGCGCAATTTACCCCCACTTTTATATCGTGTATTATCGTGGGGGATCAATTATATAAAGTCAGCTCGCGATCGTGAGATCATCATTCAGTTTTTGTTCTTGAACTCGAACACTTCAAACCGAGCTGTGGAAGTATGTATTAATCAAATATATACCAGGAACTCCTTTTGGCTTATAAAAATGGATCTACAAGAACTTAACAAAGTCAACTTGTCATCAGGATATCTACCCACAAAGAAGATCTACGATTTGGAAGAGGGTGAAATCTACAGGATTAGCCAGCTGAAAACGGTACCAACTAAGTTTGGTTTGAAATACATCGCCATAATTGAAACGGAATTTCAAATTTTTCTTCCCGCTAAGACTGTTAAATACTTCAACGCTCATGTTCACATCTTTATAAAATTATCAAAAGTTGCAGAGAGTAATCTTCTTCACCTACACTATCAAAAAGAAAATAATCTGTTCAAGTTTGTAATAAAATCTTAAATTTACAATAATAAACAATTTTAACATAAAAACTATAATTTTGAGCCTTTACTTATTCATCCTTACTCAACTTTATCAATCTGTTTTCATTAATTCTTGAATTAAAAAAAAAAAAATAGATATTATTAATATCATTAACATTTTTTTTTCAAATAAATTAATGAATAAATATTATTTGGAAACAAAAATTAGCTGTTTGTAAAGTCGGTTTGTGAACGACAGTCTTACGTGATAACGATATGAAAGAAAATATTGATGAAAAAAATATTGATAAACACTTGCATACTCTTTTGAATTGAATTAAATTATTATCTCAGAATTATCATTATTTGTATTTAAAAAAAATTGTTGAATTTTCAAAAATTATTATTTTAACAAAAGGACTTATTGATACATTGTTAATCGAAAATTGATACAGTAATCTGATATAATTATTGTTTATAATTAATTCAATTATTTCATTAATTTATCGTTTATGATTATTATTAATTTAGAATTAATATTAATATGATCAACAACAATAATAATAATAATCTGATATATTCTAACATGAATATTTTTTTTTTTTTTTTTTTTTTTTAACTAGTTAAAAACATTAATTTTTAATTTGCTTAAATATAATCATGAGCAATTTGTTATAGTATAATATTCTAACTGTTAGCTCTAATGTCACACAGGAGAGAGAGATATATATGTGTGTCACAAGCTTAGGTCTTTCTATCATCTGTTTAATTCATACTTAAGGATTCTTTACGAGGCGTCAAAAACTGCGTCGGATGCCGCCAACTGTGTAAAAATCGGTTTATTCATTCAAAACTTATTGAGGTTTGAAAATTCAATAAATAGTGTTCTATAAAATTTCTATCAGGCTTTTGCGGTCGAAGAGCTCAAAAGCATAGGAAAGCTGTCCCTTTGAGTTCGGAGAGGAATTGCAACCTAAAAATACCGTTCCCTTGACGGAAAACATCCTCGGTAGTCTGGCGCTCCGTGTACAACGGATTTGAATGGATCTTGACGCCAGACTATACCGAGTCTACATAAATATTTTTCTATCCGTCCAAGGTCAAGTGCCTCTTAGATATCATTTCGTTTATCACCTTAACAATTTATTAGAGATGTAAATAATATAAATTTAATTATGTGATATTTGATGTTTAATTTATTTGCAGTGAGTAATATACCAGAACCAGAATTTTTGGAAGAAATTGGAAACACGACTGTACCAGCAGGACGCAACATCAAATTAGCTTGCAGTGTCAAAGACCTTGGTACATATAAGGTAATGACTGATTAGTTTTCATTCCCATCGTACAAAAATTATAGATATATGTTAATTTTAAAATTTATTGTATGAATCGTTCAAAGTTATGTGGAAGATTAATACAGATGCTTCTTCCATAACGGATAAAGGCGGTTGATCTCTCCGGAATATGAATTATTACCAATAACCAAGAAATCTTTACATGTTCAATAAAAGATTCTTCATAAATATAAGTCATACCAAATAAAAAATACATACATTACAGAATGCACATGTTATTTCTGAACTTCGCTTCGACTGTTACCTATGGAGAATTTAATACTAATCCTTTAGACAAAATTTAGTCAGACGGTGTTGTAGCAATAAAAATTTAGTAATTGTTTAAATTAATTATTTATTGAAACTTTTTTGACAATAATATTAACACCGATTGTACATCTGTAAATATAAATTTTCTGTTATTAGTTAAATGTATTTTATTAACAAATATGATTTAATTTACCTGACTTAATTAATAAATTATTTTTAATCGATAATTATTTAATTTATAATTTTCATTATAATCACATGTTTTGTTCTATAAACAACTTTCATTTTTTTAATAAAATAACAAACTAAACAAAACATAAAAAAAACATCAAGTCTAGTAACTTTTAAAATTGCTTACTAGATTTCATTACCCAACACTCCTCCTTAAGCAATTTTCATAAATTTTCTTAGATAAAGCTTTTGTTAAGATATCAGCAATTTGTTGTTATGTATTAATGTTAATTTAGTTCACTGTTTCCCAACATGTTGATTAACAAATTTTCTTCTTATTTCCACAAGCTTCTTTCCTTTAGTTATTTTTCCTTCTTCCATATTTTCCAGCATGTGCTTTGCTGCTTGATTATCAATATACGTTTTTGTAGGTTCAGTTAAATTAATAATTTTCAGTTCATTCATAACTCTTCTTATCCAACTAATTTCGTGAATCCGACACACTGCAGCTCGATATTTCGCTTCCGCCGATGATAGTGATGTAATTGTTTGTTTTTGTGCCAATCAAACAATAGGTCCACCACACTCAATTAACACTCCACTCGTTGAAATCATATCTTCTTCAGTTTCTCCATAATTTGAATCAGTATAAACTTTTAATTCTGATTGTTTCTTAAAAAATATACCATAATTTTCTGTCCCTCGAAGATACTTAAAGACTCTTTCGATCATTCTCCAGTGTCTAAGTTGTGGATTACTCACTTGACGACTCAAATAATTTACCGCGAAACTAATGTCTGGCCTTGGTATTGTAGATAAATACAATAGACTTCCAATCGCTTCTCGATACGGCATGTCTTTCAATGGCTTGTCATTTCTCATATCTTCTGTCAACATTCCAGATTCAATAGGCGTAGCAACCGGGTAAGATTTCTCAAAACCAAATTTCAATGATATTTTCTTAGTATATTTTTCTTGAGTTTCTAAAATTCCATTTTTTCTTAAATGAATTTCCATTCCAAGATAAAATAGTTTTCCATCTTTTGCTTCCGTAAATTTCATTTAAAATTTTTCATTTAGTTTGACCAATACTTGATTAATTGTTTCAGCATCCTCTCCACAACTATTATACTATCATCTACAAATATTCCAATAATAATTCCAATCTCATGATTATAAAATATACAAGGATCATCATCAGTATCATCAAAACCCATTTCTTTTAAAGATTTAGTGAATATTCCCACACATCCATAGATTTTAATGCATCAATTTCATCTTGCATTGCTTTTCTCCATCTTGAATCATTGAATGCATCTTTTACTGAAATATCGTCAATTTCTCCGATCATTGCGTAATCATTATATTTAATTGGTAAATTTATATTTCTTCGGTTTCGTAGATTGTATCTTGTAGTCTGGACTTCTGGTTCTGAATCATTGCTTTCACGACTTCTATAAGACTCCTCCTGACCTTCTTCATCATCAATATCAGACTCTAAATTCTCTTCTTTATTAATTTTGACATTCAATTCAGCATTATCAATCATTTTGAAATTAATTTCCATACAACTTTCTTCAGAAGTAATTTTTTCATTAAAAAAAACACTACATGACACTTCAACACACCTTTCATTTTGTAAATAAATTCTGTAACCATGTTGTTCTAAATCATAACCAACAAAAATACCTTTCTTACTCTTTTCATCGAGCTTCTGACGTTGATGATCTGGTATTAACATATAACATTCAAATCCTAACTTTTCATTGTTTTTAAATTTACTTGACAACCAAACTACAAATCAGCAGGTGATTCACCAATAACATTACTCGTTCCAGTCTGATTAATAGTAAATACTGAATAATTTAAAGCTTCAGTCCACAATGCTTGATCAAGATTCTTTGCGTAAATTTCTGACCTCGCTGCTTCCACTATCGTTAGCATTTCACGTTCAATTCTTCCATTCTGTTGAGGTGCACTGATAGAAAATTTATGTTGACTCAAGAGATATTTTCTTGATCTAAGAATTTATTTTGGAAGACAAATGATTATCTTGCTCTAAGAATTTCTTGTCATGATTTAGATTTTCTTGGCTTGAGAGCTATATTATCTTCAATCGATACATTTAAGTTTTTCAATCAAAATAACATTATCGTTTAAAAAACTTAAAATAATTCATCAAAGTATAATTCAAAAACTAAATATTCTTTAATTGTTATACCAACGTAGAAATAAGTAAATTATAATTAATGACTCAAAAAAAGCCATTCTTAACACAAGTCGGTAACATCTTGAATCAATGTTATCGCCTATCTTGAACCAAGAGACAAAAATTCTTGAAAGAAATATATCTATATCTAGTTTCAAGAGTTCAAGTTTTGAAGAGAAAAAGTTTCTTGAATCAAGATTGTTTTTCTATCAGTGTGTATAAGTTGTTGACCTTTCATTAAATTTTCCCAATTTCTCGAAGATATTTTTACTTCTAATTAATTTCGGTTCCATTATCTGACATCAAACCTTTTATCTGTTTTTCAAATTGACTCTCCACCAAGTTTAGAAATATTTCTAATTTTTCGATTGCTTTTGACTTCTTCTTTAGAAAATAAATGGTTCTAAATTTACTAAAATCGTCTTTAAATAATAAAAAATGTTTCGCACCACCAAGAGACAAAACATTCATTTCTCCTAGATCAACATAAACTTTGTCAAGAACATTTTTAGCAATAATTTCTATTTATTCCGAAGATCGCTGATTTCATTAATTGAAGAGTTAAGTAATTCAAAGTTAACTTTCCCGATCCAAATTGACGGTAAACTAAATTTTTAATTTTCATTAAATTTCAATTCTTACTTATTATCTATTTTCACCACATTATTGTCGGAATAAACACTCAATACCACCGTCGGGTGAATATATCTAACAATTAAAAATCTTTATTTAATTAAGATTATAGTGTTTACTCATTACATTTTTAGCAATCTTATCATTTTTTGGATGTGATATATTATGTTGTTTCCATATACACATCCTTGACAAACATCTTTCCAGTCATCAATATATTTGATGTTATTTTTCAATACAATATCCTTAACATGTCTAATATTTTGGTGTACTAACCTTTCATGCCAAAGTTTCAATCCTACAACTGTCAAACTGTACTCTTCCTTTTGACGAAAAATCATTTTTAACAAACCTCCGATTCTTTCAGCTATTAACACAATTTTGGCACCTTCCATTATCATTGAATTTTCTGCTGTAGCTTGCTGTATATATATTAGGGTGGTCGTTAAAAATTAAATTCTTTCAGACGCCCAAAAAAATCCTTCCTTTTGACGAAAAACTACGGGAAAAATTTTGCTTTTTGATTTTTAACAAAAATAACACGTGCTGGCGACCAATTTAAGTTTATTTTTCGATAAAATTGTAGTTTTTTGGAATATTTGTTACATTATTTAAATTTTAGCACTAAAAACTTTATTTTCCTTGAAATATGAACAATTTAGTAAATTTTATATACAATTATTCATTTATAGAGATTAAGTTAATGACTACCAAGTTATATTCGATATTCGATAGAAATCGGAACATGTCGAGTCATGTTATTAATTTATAAAACAAATAAAGTATACTATTAATTACATGTTCCGATTTTTGCTTAAATAACTTTTGAAAAATTGATTTCAGAAAAAAATTTATTCATAACAAATTGTAGAAAATTTAATTATCAATAACATTGCTTTCTCTAACAATCTTGATAAAGTTGATAGTTTTTAAGATAAATGATAAATAATGATTCATGACACAGAGAGGCCGATGCAACGCATGAGTCAGAGAGAGACAGCGATACTTAAAGGTAAGCGACGCATACTTGTAAGCGCGCGAAATTAACAATTAAAAAACAGATATAAACAATGAAATTTTTTTAAATTTCTATTAACAATATTATTAACTATTGTATAGAGAATTTAAAAAAAAATATTACTTATACATTATTTTTTTTTTTAATATATTTTTCATGGGTCGAAAGTACCCAAATTTGAGATTTTTCGAACCTTTAAAAATTCATATCTTTGAAAATATTAACTTTATCGAAAAAAGTTATAGGACCTTTTTTATTGCTATTTCAACAAAGAATATAAAAAAAATTTGTCCGGTTGACAAATAACAATTCCTTGCAATTGTTTAATCAATTTTGGTTTAAACAATATGGCACCGGGTTGCCCCATGGCAACATGCATTTATATCATCAGTAGCGCAATTTGAAGAGGATTGCATAAAAAAATTGAGGTGGAATAGTTTTCGGTACTCATGCGCCGATTCCTCCTGGACTATTTATTAATTCCAAGGTTTAAGTAAGCTTTCTTTTGTATTTTTTGTTTCGAACTCTGTAATCATCCAAAATTTGAATCACAAACTGCTTCTGATTTTCATCTTTCGTAAACAAATCATTGTATTCTTGCATTAATTTCACACCGAGTTCAGCAACATCGTTCACAACAGATAAATTATTTACAGCGTTCAAACAGATCTGATAATTTATTTTTTCTTGCCAGTTTTTACAATCATCTTTCAGCCAACTAGTACCCAAACCCAGTTTAAGAGAGAAATTAATTGATGAATGATCAACGAACTGTTCTAATCCATGGTCGAATAATTTTGGTACATCTTTTTCAGCTATTACTATTTTTTTTTAATTACAGATTTGACTGTCATCTGAAGAATCATAATCGTTATTATCGAATAATTTTTAAACCATTTTTAACTTCCCGCTAAGAAAATTGAAAATTGTTGTTTTCACCCCGTTTTTCGAGAATCGAGTTTTCATCAGATCTCGACGT